TCCGGTATCAACATTTCTCATGTTCTTTTTTTCATAAAAGAATGGAATTCCCATCACTATATCATATAGAAATATTTCGTTAAAGGATATCTTATTGGAAACGTTTCGTAGAGAATTTATCAAGAGATCATTATGGTACCAAATTCATCTCCCTATCACAATTAGCCACATTTGAGTGTGGGGGAGGGGGGGGGGGGACTGATCACACGACCCTGCCCCCCAAAGGTTGCTTCCTTCAGCACACACCAACACCACCCACACATCACACACAAAAACACCCTCCAACAACCACACATGCACCCCAACACACACACATTCCGACACCACTCACACACCCACCAGCAAGGGAATTAAGACACATATGCGTGTGTGTGACTGTTGAGGAGCGCTTGGCAACACTTATTTCCACTCCAGCTCTCTATTTACCCACACCTTTCTCACTCCACATTTTAAAATGTTATGTAATGTAATGTTGAAGGGATACAGCATTGCTCATTTACACTTATACTTATCACAATCTCCCTAAAAATACTTTAGGTTTCGTGTTTATTCAAGACATCTTCAGGGCATGAGACCCACTAATCCCCCGGCCAAGAAAGTGTGACCTGACATTCCATCAGAAGGGCACTAATATGAGACCACTATTCCCCAACCCTACCTTCACCTGACATCGAGTCAGATCAGGGCAGTTACACGAGACCCACTAATCCCCGTTAGCTCCATGGGAGTGGAAAATACCAGTCTTTGCTGTAACACACAGCTTCATTGATACCCATTGTAAAGGCAGTAATGAGCAGGATGGTTGCCTGCCGCTCGTTTGCTTGTTCGCTGCCCCACTTTGGGGGGAGGGTAGACGGAGGTGAGAAGGTCATTGTAGCCTCGTCGCACACCAGATACTATCCAGCCTTGACCACAGCTGCACTTCCCCAGCGATTCGACTCCAACTCTGGTTGTGTACTCATCTGAGGTTCCTGGGGCTCGTGGGCTGATTCCCCAGTCCTTCACTATTCGGCTGTCAACTCCGGACACCTACTCCAGCTACTACCGCGGCTGCCACATCATTGCCACTTCCTCCACGCCCTATCCACCGTCCATGCCCTGGCATCTCTCCTGTGTGGCAAGGCATCGCCCACCAACGCCGGCGCCACTGCCCTGGACCTTCCCCCTGAGAGCGGACCACCGCGTTAACAGAACATTCCACCGGGCTGCAGCCGTAGGAAATATCTGTACAGTTGGTCCTCATATTACGCGGTCCCGCATTCCGCGTTTCACCGTTAACGCGGTGCCTTGCCAGAACCTAACATTCTTACATTCCGCGGTCGCGAACGCCATTACGCGGAGAGTGTCCGGCGCGACGCTATTTTTAGATTTTCCCCACGCGCCACCCGCCCGCCCGCCTGCCTGCCTCTCCCTCCTCCTCCCTCCGCTTGGGCAAGCGGCGCGGTAAGGTTGCGCAGTGTGTGTCTTTGTTGCGTTATCACTGACGTCATATGACGTATCAGACCTGTGATTGGCCATGCATCCCTACCCTCCTCTGCTGCTAGCTGTAATTGGCTTAAAGTATTATGACGTGTCCACCCGGGGGAGGGAGGGAGGGAGGAAAGACGACGCTTGACCTAGCCGCGGCAGTTTCATCCCTCAAGGCCACTCCGTGAAGTTGACTTTGAGGGATTTGTCAGGGAAGCCCTGACAACTGTAAGTGACAGTGATGATGATTCACCTAGTAATGGTGATTCACCTGAGGGCCAGTAATCTGCCCTCTGCCTCGGAACCAGCCTCCATCCCCGTATGCCGACCCATCTCTTCTACTACCGTAAGTGTTACACAAAATTTTTAGTTTTCTAACCTAACCTTTATTTTTCCTATGTTAACCTTTATCTTTCCTAACCTAACCTCTTCTATATTACTTGTTTTTTCATACCATCATAAAGTTAAGATAAAATTTTTACTACAACATAGTTGTGTGTCGTCAAAAAGTGGAGTTTGGGGATCGGCCTGGACTCCATTTCAATTAATCCCATATGTTATGTTGTTCACTTTACGCGTTCCTCACTTTCCGCGGGACCCTCCGGGTTACATTAACCGCGTAATATGAGGACCAACTGTACTTTGTTTGACTCCCGTATTTGTTTATTTAATATTTGTGAGTGGTGTCAATTATTGTGATTATTTTAGTAGTAAGGAGATGTCAATCTCTAACGGTTGTTTGTTAACCCCTTGGAAACCCATGGTTCTTGACTTTCCTTTTATAAGATTTTGATTAGGCTGGCATTGGATTTATATCCCAAAGTCCAGGCCTTTACACCCATATCATATAGATTTTTAATTTTTAAATATATTTATTTAACCAAACTTTTAGATAAACTATTCTGGATTATTATAGTAAAGAAATTAATTTTCTAACTTAATTAGAACTGTATTTACGGATTCCAGTATTTTAGACTCAAGAAAAACATCCCCAGCACTCGGAAACATTCTCGGGAAGTGAGCTAGTGTGTGTCTGTGCAAGAGGTCTAGTTTAGACACTTGGAAACTTTTCCCAGTAGCAGGAAAAGGTGCTGGGGATAATTAATTTTTCCGGGTTTGAAAAAGTCGCCCCGTTACCAGGAAATCTCTCATCCTCGGAAGTGTTCTGCACCAATTGTTCCATCTAACGGGGATATCACTGTATAATGGTGAACATTAAAAACTAAATAAATAAAAAAAATTCAGTCATAAAATTAAAATATGAAAACATATAAATAAAAAATTGGTGTGCCTTCTTAGTGATTTTATTCATGCCAAATCATAAAAAATATTTCAAAATTCTTGCATTTTCTAGAATTACTGCATACTGTATCAGAATTTTAAGTTTTTTATTTGAAGCAATAATATTTTTTGTCAGGTTTAAGATCATAAAAATGGAGGAAACTGCAGCGGGCCTATTAGTCCACACTAAGCAGCCCCATTTACATCCAACCCATATCACCAGTATATCAGTCCAACCTATATTTAAAGCTTCCCAGTGACCTTGAGTTAATGATAGTGTTTGGTAAATTGTTCCACTCATCCACTACATTATTTCCAAAGCAGTGTTTACCTATCTCCTGCCTAAATTTAAATTTGTCTAATTTAAAACCATTGCTCCGAGTTCGCTTTTGGTTAATAGTTTAAGTACCATTGTTATGCCACCTTTGTTAAAACCCTAAGTTCCATTTATACACCACAATCATATACAGTAGCTTCCCACTCTGTTTCTCAAGGGAGTGCAGACTCATAAGCTTTAATCTGTCTCCATACACAAAGTTCCTTATGCCCGGGATTAGCCTCGTCATCCTCCTCTGAATTCTTTCTAGAGAATTTGATATCCATTCTGTAATATGGTGACCAGAACTCAACCACATAATCCAAGTGAGGTCTCGTATACACTCGATTGATTGATTGTGGTAATTACGTCCCTGGAGACACAACAGCTTAGATCATGTCGCCAAATTAAAATAAAGTCTCAAAAGGCTAGAATAAAATAATGATACGTAAAAACATTTGTACTGTACAGTAATAAATAACGTAGAACTTTCGTAAAAAAAACATTTAAACGTTAATAGATAAAATTCAAAGCTTGTGTAGAAGGCCATTTTCCTCCACGAAGGAGGACATCCCCTCCCACACTACCTACTAAATATTTCCCGGTCATATTTCTCTATAACAACGTTGCTCGCCTGATATTTAGTTTCTCTATTTATATCTCTTAGGCTAAGTATTTTACATTTTTTCACATTAAATTTCATCTACCATTTTTCAGACCATGAGAAAAGTTTGTTTAGATCTTTTTGTAATTTTTTGGAGACCACGTCAGATTTAATCCATGACCTATTTTAGCATCGTCAGCAAATTTACTTATGTTGCTGTCTACTCCTATATCTATGTCATTAAAGTATACTGTATAATAAATAGTAATGGTACCTTGGGGTACCCCACTAAGTGACGTTATTCCAATCAGACTTAGTACAACTAATACTAAATCTCTTGTTTCCTGCCATTTAACCATCCCTAATCCAATTCAGAATATCCCCTCCAATTCCACGAGCCTCCACTTTACATATGCACTAGTCTTTTGTGGCTAACCTTGTCGAAGGCTTTGCTAAAGTCAAGGTAAACCACATAATAGTGTCCTTCATCGACTGATTCGTAAACAGATGAAAAGAATGATAAATTATAATAGATTTGTGAGACATGAACACCCACTAGTAAGGCCATGATGAGAATAATTGATCAACTTGTGTTTCTCGAGGTGATTTCAAACCGAGTTTGAACTATAGCTTCCAATAATTTTTCGACAATTACAAATAAATGCACATACAATGTCTTTCTAAGCATAATAATTGGAAAGTGCTTAACTTTTTAACTGACAACTTTGCATAAATTTTTTAGTGATTGTCATTAATTACAATACAGAATGCCCTTCAAATTTGCAGATTTTTAATTCACGGACCTCGATTATCCACGGATGACACTAATCATGTAAATTCAGAACATGGTAAATATATTGACATACTTTTGTTACACAATGTGTTTCACCAAGTCTTGCTGCTGAGTGAGAAAGATTTGCCAATGTAATGGGACCTACTAATCCAACAGTTGTCATTGCTCCAAACACTGCCAGGCACCTCTCACTCTTCACATTGTCAACCAATAACACAACTTAAACAACAAGGGATCAGATCAAGTCTTTTCTGAATTGGCCACATCTGTGTCCCGTGGCATGGTTCCTCCTTACCCACCTTTGTGAATTGGCCACATCTGTGTCCCGTGGCATGGTTCCTCCTTACCCACCTTTGCTTTCCACAATGTCAATTTGATTTTGTAATCATGGAATGTAATCATGAGTATGATTCCTTTTGTCTTGGAATTGATTACAATTTCTTGGTTTCCCAAAATGATGGAATCAATTATGATTCCAATGATTACGATTACAGTAAAACACGTCTGCTAGGAAGGCTAGAGAAAATAGAAAATCGTACCTCGAACTCTGCTGCCCTTAGAGATCCAAAGAAGACCTTCTTTAGAAACTTTCCAAGAAGAATGACCAACGTGAAGGCAAGTAGATAGATTGCCTGAAATCAAGAAAAAATATAAGAGATACATATACTGTTACATAAGTGATTTGAGAACAATACTGTACTTCCAGTCTTGTCATTTTATAGCTACCCTGTACTACAATAAAGTAGTACAGTACTACTGTATTTATCAATTAATGACATAATTCCTTATTTTGAAATGCAAGACTCAAAGCACTGTAAACTAATAATGGTTTAAACCTATTGCACTTAATATATCTCTATCACACTTGCATGTGTGTCCCCAGGACAATGTGTTTTGACAGAATTTCATGGAGGTATGCATGTTGATGTTACTAGTACTGTACTTATACTAGGCTGGGTCAACTTTAATATGTATTGTCTGACTGACTGATGTACCCATATTATGACTTATTGGCTGGAATTTTCCAAGAAAATTAAATTGTAAAATTGTGGTCTTTATCTATGGCAGTGTAATCAGTCATCCTGCAATGTAAATTCTAAAAGGTTATTGGAGTCAAATACAGAAGACCTGTAAATGTAATTACTTTTGTCAACAAGTGAAGGATTTCATCTACATTTTGTAGGATTTATTCATGCATTTCAATCGTGAACATGAAAATTTCAAAGATACATTTTCATATTTAATGTGAAGGGCAGTTCCTGGTACAGTACAGTTCTCTGCTGTCAAACCCTTTCCTATCACTTGGTGGAATACTGTACAGTACAGTATTCTGGTTTAATTGATTTGAATTTCTTAAAACTAATACAGGTACTGTAGTCCTCATTTTGTGTAAATCTACACATCATGGTTTCAATTTATTAAAATTAATTTGCAATGAACACATTAAATTAATGTACCACCATACTGTAATCAATTATATCAATGATATTTTGTTTCTCCTCAATACCATCAAAAAAATATGAACAAAATGAGAATTTAAAGATGCATCGAGTCATTTTAGTTAATGTGTGACCATGAGAGGGAGAACTTACACACACATCATCATCATTAACGTTTTATGGTTGTTTTCCATGCTTTCAAAGGTTAAACAGATCAACCACCGATTTTACATCAATCACTGGTCCAGAACCTCTGATGGTCTGGAAAGTTTTATGGTGGCAAAATTTCAAATTTACTGCACACCTATAGTGAACAATAGCTACCTGGAACAAGCTCATGAAAGCTAACCTTACTGAGCTGTGTGGTGTTACAGCTATTTTTGAACTCGTAATGTATAAACTCCAAACAGAACCAAATAGCATGTTATTTTCACATACAGTACAGTAATACAATTCTCTTGAAAAGTTTCCCTTCTCTTGACTCTTCTTCCCTTTTTGACAAATTTATGTAATTAATTAAGTTCATAGATGTCCAAAGTCACCCCTAGAACAATCACTAACAGGCACAGCCACTGAATTAACACATGATCAAAGTCACCCCATTTCTGTGGTGACTTCAGACATCTATAAATTTTCTTTTCATAAAAAACCTATGCCGTTTCCTGAATTCCCGTTAACACGTATGAATGGCTCATTAGTTCATGCCCGATTGGGATACTTAATATATACCTATACAGAAAGCTTTTACCATTCAAACTTAAACTACAGCTTAAAAAACCCTGAAACACTGTCCAAAGTCATCCCATCTCACCGTACTGATAATTTTGAGTAGTTTTTGTATGTTTTTACCCCACAATGTTGGTAACTGTGTGTGTGTGTGAGTGTGTCATATCTCCACAATTACTCAATTCCAAAGGACATGAAGGTCAAATTTATATGAAACAGTGAAAAACACTAACTATAAAACTTATTTTCCATATATATATATATATATATATATATATATATATATATATATATATATATATACGTAATTTGACAACATTTTGGTATGACTGAAGCGGTCGTAAGTCTGGGTGGTCGTAAGTCTGGGTGGTCATAAGTCAAGTAGGCCGTAAGTCAGGGAGGAGCTGTATTATTTTTGCCTTTTCGACTCATGACCTGGTCGTCGGGACGGAACCCCTTCGTAAGTCGAGGAGAGAATATATATATGTCTTGAATAAAGACGAAAGCTAAGGTGCTCCGTTGTTTCCCTTTTCCCGTGTGATTTTATCAAGATTTATCTTATCCACGTTTTCATTGTGGATCTACATGATATATATACTGTATAAATAAAAGGAGATAAGAGCAAAAATAAACAATAATACACAATTTATAACATTTTCATCAGAAACTGTTTTGTTTTTTTCTTTTCGACATCACTTAAAGAAATGCACTTTTGATCAATCAAAGTGGGAAATTTGGGGGTAAAAAACAAGCAAAAAAAACTGACCAAACCAAACCCAATGACTCAAATGTCAGTACAGTACTGTAAACAAGTCCAACTTAACCAGAGAAACCAGAAAAACCTGATTTCGCCTCCTACCCAGCTACCCGGGGGTGGGGGGGGGATCCCAGTGTGTAAACCTAACATAACCCAACAAGACAAAAGGAAAACTAAGGAACCTGAAGCATACACTGAGCATCGGCGTCGATCCGGCCCACGGCGGCGGTGTGTTTTGAAATACGTCAATATGATTGGCTGCTTACATCCAGGGATGAGACATCACCGCTGCATTACCAGAGAAGACAAAGCATTGTGCGCCAAGGCACCTAATTATGTACCACACAAAGAATTTGCACAAGAAATGATTATCATGTCAGAACTGACTGATGGAAATATAGTGAGAAAGTAAACATAAAAATAAATAACGTGCCAGAGGTCAGTCGTAAATATTAACCATCATTTATTGTGCAAATGCTTTATTTGGTAGCTTATTAGGTACAGTCTCGTTCAAGATTCTTCGAACACTGCTGAAGACAGCTGGCAACTCAAGGCCGCTTGTTTACTATAGTACGTAGTATAATATAATACGAAACAACAAAGCCCAACCAGTAAATTAAGCAATGGGGAACTAAGTAACCAATCACTGATCACTTTCACATTTATTCATAATTTTTACTATGTACTATAGTAAACAAACGGCGTCGTGTTGCCAGCTGTCTCCAGCAGTGTTCGAAGAATCTTGAACTAGACTGTACCTTGGCGCATAATACTTTGTCTTCTCAATGGTAATGCAGCGGTGACGTCTCATCCCAGGATGTAAGCAGCCAATCATATTGACGTATTTCAAAACACACCGCCGCCCGGGCTTGATCAACGCCAATGCTCAGTGTATGCTTAAGAACCGTTCGGTACGGAAGGCTGCTCTCACATCCACAAAAACTTAAAATTCCACCTTATTATAGTAAGTTCTTTGTTTAATATAACAGGGGGTCTTGGTGGTTGACAAGGAAGTTAGGTAAGGTTAGGCAGGTTTGTTTGGTTAGGTTGGTAAGGTCTTCTAACAATGCTTCTGCTGCTTGTTTTTGTTATCAACTAAGGTTAGGTTAGGTTTAATTTATAATAACCACTTTTTAAAACATTTGCATAAACTATGCCAGTGTTCACTATAAAACAGTGAAATTGCTGCGTTTTTATAATCGTTTTCTATGTAAAATCGGCCACGGGTCAGTCATCAATAATTACCGAAATGATCATCATATCAGTAAACAGTAAAACAAACAAGTTGTCCACGGGTCAGTGGACAATATTAACCTTCATTTTTCCACGTATGTTATTATAAATGAGGTGACATTTACTAGAACCTGACGTAATCAATCAAAGAAACCTACCCCTAACCTTACCTAACTTCCTAGCTGGGGGCAGGCCCAGTCATGGTAAACAGAAAGTACTTAGTAAATCAGAGCGTACTCACGGTAAAATAGCATTAGAAGGAACTTAGCCAGTCAAGGCAAAATATCTACTACCATATGTTGTCTCATATGGCAGGGGGTCCAGGAGGTGGGGGAGGGGGCAGCACCCCCAAGCTAGGAAGTTACGTAAGGTTGGGTAGGATTCTCTGGTTAATTAGGTCAGGTTCTATTAGGTTCTAGTAAATGTCACCATTTTAAAATACTCACTATAATAATGTGAAAAAATTAAACATCCATAAACTTTTTTTGGTGGTAGCAGTTCTCATATATTACCCCAAACCAGCCTCTATTTGAATAATTAAATCACACTGAACTACCATACAGCTACATACCGCCATGCTTGGATTAGATTTAGTGATGTAGACAACGGAAGGATAGAACTGTCTCTTCTGATAATATGCATTCCCAATCACCGCTGCGGTTAGTGCAAAGGAGGCCATAGTTAGGCCCCCTACAGGCATAGGCGCAGGCATGTTGATTAACTTCTCTCGGCGATTAGGATAATGAATAGATGCATAAAGTGTTTCTCTATCCCGCTCCACTATCACTCAGGGCTCCACAACTGATGAGGTGACGAGAACCAAACCTCAACCCAAACAACTGCTGACATTTAGGTACCACATTTTATGGGATATATTTTATTTTAATTTCAATTATTGATCACGTGTGTATATAAAATTAATTTTTATAAATAAATACTGACGTTATTACCAAATAGTTATTTTTTTACTTATTAAAAATACAAAATGAAGAGGATTATAGAAATCGACAAAAGATGTTTCTTTAAGCGAACTGTCTCTTTCTGATTGGCAGCTCAAAATGACGGCGCAAAATATGAAATATAGTTGTGTATTTCTTCATTGCCTATCTTTACCAACTTTTCTGTCGTTTAAGTATCAAAGTCTTAAATTTATAAATGACTATGAGAAAATAAACGAGAATAAAACAGGTTTAGGCAGTCCGTACAGCTTTTCACAATGACACCGTACTCACTTTGCGGAATATGTCCCGGGTTCAGTCCCCAATTGAGTCAGATATAAGAATGGTGTTTCCCTACCAAATATTGGTTATTTTCCGTATACAGTACTGTATACGGTTTCCTCCTGTGCTAACATCGGACAATGAAGGTCTTAACAGCGTAATGCAAAGGCTAATAAGTTGATAAGTGGTGGAAGGGACAAAGAGTAAAATAAAGTTTAATTTACTTTTATCCTCTTCGCCACTGACCGACTCGTTAGCCGTTTGGGCCATCGGTTACGTCTCTGTAACGCACTGTTTGCGAATACTGGGCGTGCATTGGCTCATGAATGTACCTGAACCTGCTCCAGTGCTGGTCAAGTCTGGTCACAATCGATGCCGTCACAACACTCTGGCAGGTTGTTCCACGAGTTCACAAATCCCACTCTGAAAAAGCTGGCATTCACAGTTTTCTGGAATTGTGGCTTATGTACTGAAGTAGTCGTTGTTATAGTATCGTGTGTGATGAGTACTGTACTTTCTTAAGTTTGCGTGTGTTGAAGGTGTGTGTGTTGAAGTATTGTGTGTGTTGAAGAGGTGTTTGTTGAATTACTGTGTTGTTGGACTACTGTGTGTGATGAAGTACTGTGTGTGTTGAAGTACTGTGCGTGTTGAAGTACTGTGTGTGTGTGTGTGTGTGTTGAAGTACTATGTGTGTTGAAGTACTGTGTGTGTTGAAGCACTGTGTGTGTTAGTACTGTGTGTGTTGAAGTACTGTGTGTGTGTGTGTGTGTTGGAAGTACTGTGTGTGTTGATGTACTGTGTGTTGAAGTACTGTGTGTGTTGAAGTACTGTGTGTGTTGAAGTACTGTGTGTGTGTGTGTGTGTGTGTTGAAGTACTATGTGTTGAAGTACTGTGTGTTTAAGAGTAGAGTGTGTGTTGAAGTACTGTGTGTGTGTGTGTGTGTGTGTGTGTTGAAATACTATGTGTGTTGAAGTACTGTGTGTGTTGAAGTACTTGTGTGTTGAAGTACTGTGTGTGTTGAAATTACTGTGTGTGTGTTGAAGTACTGTGTGTGTTGATACTGTGTGTGTGTGTGTGTGTGTGTGTTGAAGTACTGTGTGTGTTGATGTACTGTGTGTGTTGAAGTACTGTGTGTGTTGAAGTACTGTGTGTGTTGAAGTACTGTGTGTGTGTGTGTGTGTGTTGAAGTACTATGTGTGTTGAAGTACTGTGTGTGTTAAGTAAGTGTGTGAAGTACTATGTGTGTGTTGTTCTGTGTGTGTTGAAGTACTGTGTGTGTTGAAGTACTGTGTGTGTTGAAGTACTGTGTGTGTTGAAGTACTGTGTGTGTGTGTGTGTGTGTGTTGAAGTAATATGTGTGTTGATGTACTGTGTGTGTTGAAGTACTGTGTGTGTTGAAGTACTGTGTGTGTTAGTACTGTGTGTGTGTGTGTGTGTGTGTGTTGAAGTACTATGTTGTTGAAGTACTGTGTGTGTTAAAGTAGAGTGTGTGTTGAAGTACTATGTGTGTTGATGTACTGTGTGTGTTTGAAGTACTGTGTATGTTGAAGTACTGTGTGTGTTGAAGTACTGTGTGTGTGTTTGAAGTATTGTGTTGAAGTACTGTGTGTGTGTGTTGAAGTACTATGTGTGTTGATGTACCGTATATGTTGAAGTACTGTGTGTGTTGATACTGTGTGTGTTGAAATTACTATGTGTGTTGAAGTACTCTGTGTGTTAATGTACTGTGTGTGTGTGTTGTGAAGTATTGTGTTGAAGTACTGTGTGTGTTGAAGAACTGTGTGTGTTGAAGTACTATGTGTGTTGAAGTACTCTGTGTGTGTATTACTGTGTGTGTTGAAATGTGTGTTGAAGTACTGTGTGTGTTAGAACTGTGTGTGTGTTGAAGAACTGTATGTGTTGATACTGTGTGTGTGTTAGTGTGTGTTGAAGTACTGTGTGTGTTGTTGAAGTACTGTGTGTTAAAGTACTGTGTGTGTTGAAGTATTGTGTGTGTTAATGTACTGTGTGTGTGTTGAAGTATTGTGTTGAAGTACTGTGTGTGTTGAAGGACTGTGTGTGTTGAAGAACTGTGTGTGTTGAGAACTGTGTGTTGAAGTACTGTGTGTGTTGAAGTACTGTGTGTGTTGAAGTGTGTGTGTGTTAATGTACTGTGTGTGTTGAGTACTGTGTGTGTTGAAGTGTGTGTGTTGAAGAACTGTGTGTGTTGAAGTACTGTGTGTGTTGAAGTACTGTGTGTGTTGAAATGTGTGTGTGTTAATGTACTGTGTGTGTGTTAGTATTGTGTTGAAGTACTGTGTGTGTTGGAAGAACTGTGTGTGTTGAAGAACTGTATGTGTTGAAGAACTGTGTGTGTTGAAGAACTGTTGTGTGTTGAAGTACTGTGTGTGTTGAAGAACTGTGTGTGTTGAAGTTACTGTGTGTGTTGAAAGAACTGTGTGTGTTGAAGTACTGTGTGTGTTGGAAGTACTGTGTGTGTTGAAGTATTGTGTGTGTTGAAGAACTGTGTGTGTTGAAGAACTGTATGTGTTGAAGAACTGTGTGTGTTGAAGAACTGTATGTGTTGAAGAACTGTGTGTGTTGAAGAACTGTGTGTGTTGAAGTACTGTGTGTTGAAGTACTGTGTGTGTTGAAGAACTGTGTGTGTGTGTGTTGAAGTACTGTGTGTGTTGAAGAACTGTGTGTGTTGAAGTACTGTGTGTGTTGAAAGAACTGTGTGTGTTGAAGTTCTGTGTGTTGAAGTACTATGTGTGTTGAAGAACTGTGTGTGTTGAAGTACTGTGTGTGTTGAAGAACTGTGTGTGTTGAAGAAGTACTGTGTGTGTTGAAGAACTGTGTGTGTTGAAGTACTGTGTGTGTTGAGTACTGTGTGTGTTGGAAGTACTGTGTGTGTTGAAGAACTGTGTGTGTTGAAGTACTGTTGTGTGTTGAAGTACTGTGTGTGTTGAAGTGTGTGTGTGTTAATGTGTGTGTGTTGGAAGTATTGTGTTGAGTACTGTGTGTGTTGAAGAACTGTGTGTGTTGAAGAACTGTATGTGTTGAAGAACTGTGTGTTGAAGAAATGTGTGTGTTGAAGTACTGTGTGTGTTGAAGAACTGTGTGTGTTGAAGTACTGTGTGTGTTGAAGAACTGTGTGTGTTGAGAGTACTGTGTGTGTTGAAGTACTGTGTGTGTTGGAAGTATTGTGTGTGTTGAAGAACTGTGTGTGTTGAAGAACTGTATGTGTTGAAGAACTGTGTGTGTTGAAGAACTGTATGTGTTGAAGAACTGTGTGTGTTGAAGAACTGTGTGTGTTGAAATTACTGTGTGTGTTGGAAGTACTGTGTGTGTTGAAGAACTGTGTGTGTTGAAGTACTGTGTGTGTTGAAGAACTGTGTGTGTTGGAAGTACTGTGTGTGTTGAAGAACTGTGTGTGTTGAAGTACTGTGTGTGTTGAAGTACTATGTGTGTTGAAGAACTGTGTGTTGTTGAAGTACTGTGTGTGTTGAAGAACTGTGTGTGTGTTGAAGTACTGTGTGTGTGTTGAAGAACTGTGTGTGTTGAAGTACTGTGTGTGTTGAAGAACTGTGTGTGTTGAAGTACTGTGTGTTGAAGAACTGTGTGTGTTGAAGTACTGTGTGTTGAAGTACTATGTGTGTTGAAGAACTGTGTGTGTTGAAGTACTGTGTGTGTTGAAGAACTGTGTGTGTTGAAGTACTGTGTGTTGAAGAACTGTGTGTGTTGAAGTACTGTGTGTGTTGAAGAACTGTGTGTGTTGAAGTACTGTGTGTGTTGAAGAACTGTGTGTTGAAGTACTGTGTGTTGGAAGTACTATGTGTGTTGAAGAACTGTGTGTGTTAGTACTGTGTGTTGAAGTACTATGTGTGTGTTGAAGTACTGTGTGTGTTAATGTACTGTGTGTGTGTTTGAAGTATTGTGTTGAAGTACTGTGTGTGTTGAAGAACTGTGTGTGTTGAAGAACTGTATGTGTTGAAGTACTGTGTGTGTTGAAGAACTGTGTGTGTTGAAGTACTGTTGTGTGTTGAAGTACTATGTGTGTTGAAATACTCTGTGTGTTAATGTACTGTGTGTGTTGAAGTATTGTGTTGAAGTACTGTGTGTTGAAGTACTGTGTGTGTTGATACTGTGTGTGTTGAAGTACTGTGTGTGTTGAAGAACTGTGTGTGTTGAAGTACTGTGTGTGTTGAAGTACTATGTGTGTGTTGAAGTACTCTGTGTTAATGTACTGTGTGTGTTGGAAATGTGTGTTGAAGTACTGTGTGTGTTGAAGAACTGTGTGTGTTGAAGAACTGTGTATGTGTTGGAAGTACTGTGTGTGTGTTGAGTGTGTGTTGAGTGCTGTGTGTGTGTTGAAGTATTGTGTGTGTTGAAGTACTGTGTGTGTTAGTAGTATTGTGTGTTAATGTACTGTGTGTGTGTTGAGTATTGTGTTGAAGTACTGTGTGTTGAAGAACTGTGTGTGTTGAACTGTATGTGTTAGTACTGTGTGTGTGTTGAAGTATTGTGTTGAAGTACTGTGTGTGTTGAAGTACTGTGTGTTGAGTACTGTGTGTGTTGAAGTATTGTGTGTGTTAATGCTGTGTGTGTTGAGTATTGTGTTGAGTACTGTGTGTGTTGAGTGTGTGTTGAGTGC